TAACAAAGAAACAGAATTTCCGGAGGATGAGGCCCAGAAATCAGGATTTTAAAAAGATTCCCAGGTGATTCTAATGTGCAGCCAAGGTTGAGAACCACTGCTATAGAACAAACACAGCTATTTTTATGAACTCACCACCAGATGGCACTAGAGCCCCATAAGCATCTCTTGTCTTGAACTAGTCAAACTTCCCAGCCAAATTTACAAAGCAGTAACTAAAGAGCAGGCTCTTCCTCTAAGCTCCTGGGACATGTGTAGGCTCTAATTCATTCTTTTTGTTTTTATTTATTTTTTAATTTTATTGAATTTATTGGAGTGACTGGTTGGTTAATAAAACCATGCAGATTCTAAAACCCCAGTAGGACAGGAAGAATTGAGAAGCTTGGCCTTTACAATCTCCCCATTTCCTCCATCTCTTTCTAATATGTTCCAAAATTAGTTCTCACACTTACACCATGCTTAAGACAGTGTATTAATGACAGGTGCAGTGATTGAATTTGCTCTCCTCTTTCCTTGACCTGGTCCTCTGGGCAGGAAAGAAGTGAAATCCATCAACAGAATGAAAGAGTGCAAGCTCTTTGGTGGTGGGGAGGGAACTGCTGCACCCACCAACCTGCAGTCCTGTGCCCCAAATGTCACAGCTATTAACCCTGAACCGATAGGGCTAATTTAGGTTGTTTTGAACAGGCCCACTCTTAGAGGGTCCTCACAACCTTACCTGCTGATTTTTCCTCAAGTCTCTTCACTCCTGGGAGCCTCCAGCCTGAGTAAGACAGGGCAGCCTTCAGTCTGGCCTCTCCTAGATTCATCTTCCAACACCCATAGTGTCACTTTGTCTGACTGCTTCTGTCTGGTTGTATGTACCCACGTCAGTATGTAAAACCGAATACTGTTATTGACAGAAATTAGATATGTTTATTGTTGAAAATTGGGAATATATAGAAAAACACGTAGGAGAAGATAAAAATCACTCTGTCTGCTCAGACATAACTTCTGTTAACATATTGAATCCATATTCTGGCTGCCTATTTCCCCAAGCAGTTTTTACATACATATATACATGTATACATGTACTTTTAAACCTCTTATTAGGACCAAAAATCACATACTCTATTTGTAACATGCTCTTTTCACCTAATGGTATAACTTAAAATTTTCCTCATTTCATTAAACATTCCTCTAAAATACAGTTTTTAATGGGTGAACGGTATTCCATCTCATGGTGTGTCACAATTCAGTCGACCCATTTTTATGGTATTAAGAGCAGCGTCAGGCAGTCGGTGTGTTTGTGCGCAGGTATTAGAGAAGAACTTGGCCAGCTGCAGTGGCCTGTGTTTCAGCTGCAGATACCGAATGGGGAAGTTTCTGTCACTGCCTGTGTATTTAACTATGCAAATTCGGTTGAGAATACCAAGTTCTCCCTCCACTCTGTGTTGGGGACCAGAGCCGTGGAGGCCAGTGTCATCCCTCTGGTACCCAGTGAAGGGGAAGGATGGACATTCTTAAAAAATCCTAATATTTACAGCACACTTATTCTACTGTGATACGAGAGGGGCACCAGGTATTTGGGAGCCTGAGCTCAGGGTGGTCTGGAACCATGGGAGACCAGCTGGTCTTTGAGAAGGAGCTATGTTCTGCCTGGAGCAGCATTCTGGAAGGTTACTGTGGTTAATGCTTGGTGTTTGATATGCCACAGCGCTGTGCCCACCGAAGGAGCAGAAGAAGGATCCGGGTTGGTCCAGGTGGCAACGCAGAGACTTCAGAGAACAAGTCCACCTTTAGGAGGACACTTTCGCATCCACCTTTCTAATACAGTGATTCCTGGTAAAGGGGCAGATGGGGTGGTGGTGGTGGTGCAGCATTTATCATTTACACTTTGAGGGGCATTCCTAGGCAAGCAACATCCTGTGAGATTGTCAGGCATGGGGACAGTCTGAATGCTATTTTGTTTATTTTCCAGGGTCTGAAAATGATCTTATTAAATAAAGACTTAGACAATAACAATATCATTGCTAATATAATCCCAAACTTTTAGCTTTAGAGATGTGGAAAGAGTGGTTTAGCTTCTTGGGGCTGTCATAACAAATGACCACAACTTTGTGGCTTAAAACAACAGACATTTATTCTCTCACAGTCGAGGCCAGAAGTCCAAAATCAAATTGTTGGCTGGGCTACACTTTTCCTGAAGGCTCATGGGGAGAGTCCATTTCCTGCCTTTTCCAGCATCTGGTGGCTGCCCTTGGCTATGGCTCCACCCCCTGTCTCTGTGGTCACATAGTCTTTTCCTCTTCTGTCTCAGAACTCCCTCTGCCTCTCTCATAAGGATATATGTGACCCAGGGCCCACCCTGACAATCCAAGATAAACTCTTCTCAGGATCTTTGACTTAGTCACACCTTATGCTATATGTAAGGTAATATTAACTCTTTGGCCTTATAATGTAATATTAATAGGTTCTGGGGATTAGGGAATTGACATATCTTTTTTTTTTTTTTTAATCCTTACCCAAGGATATTTTTTCCATGATTTTTAGAGAGAATGGAAGGTAGGGGGGGCTTAAGAGAGAGACAGACATCAATGTGACTGGGCCAGGGATCGAACCTGCAATCTAGGTAGTGCCCTTGATTGGGAATTGAATCTGCAACCCTTCACTGTGCAGGCTGCAGCTCTAACCATTTAGCGCCACCGGCCAGGGCGACATATCTTTTGGAGGGCCACCATTCAGCCCACTACACTGAGGTTTGCCCAAAGATCATACAGATAGTTGATGGTCCTCTTCTCTCTGGTGTTTCCTAGGCCAAGATCCATGGTAGCCATGGTTCTTTTGAATTAAACTCCACGATGACACCATATGCTCTTGAGGACAGTAGTGATCATAACAAAGGTAGAAGGAACTTTCAGATGCGATGAGAGTAGTTTCTAAATCTTCAATAACATACACATTTCACAAAGGATAAGGATTATAAATGATTATAATTTGTTATTTAGTTGGTATAAACATCGGGGAATCAGAAAGGAGGCTCAGGAGAGCTCAAGAGTGGCTGTATAAAAATTGGTGCATGGTCCAAAAATCTTCTGCCCTCCCAGGCAGAAAGATGCTGGGCTTGCAATAAATCTTCTTGAATGGGAAGAATGGAGTGGTGTTTTTACTCTAATAGGGCAACTTAGGAAAAGTTGAAGGTCCCTAGGCCACTGGACTCTATTGCTACTGGAGTCTGATACGTGGGTGAATCAGTGCCAGCAGTGCCCTGCCCGTGTGAAGTCCATCACTGTGCTGTTTCCCTTATCAACAATGAGACAGCTGCAGCCCGTGCGTGCGTAGACAGACTCTTCCTGCCACCGCCTTCTATTCTGATGCTCCTCACATCATTGCCTGCAGAACAACAGGGGAAGCCAGCCTTCACCTGGCCTTTTGAAATGGTGAGGGCCCCAAGTTATGCAAATGTAGAATAATCTTTTTAAAAAAGGATGAGAATTTTGTTTGCATTTTAGAAATATAGTGGTATTTTATTAACACTCCAAGGCAGTGTGGGATTTAAGAGGAAGACTTGAATAGGTAGAAGGCAACCTGGATTTTAATATAAACCTTCCTCACTTGGTTGGCAAGCTTCTGAATCTTCTTAGTTTTCATTTTCTTCATCTCTAAAGGAGGCATTAGGGTACCCAAATGACCCACCTCCCAGAGCTGATGAGAGTGGCTAATGAAATGGAAACTTTTGGTAAAGCATGAAATAGTTCAAACCCAAGTAGGACTTGAAACACCCAGTGTTACTGCTCTATGGTGATGTGGAATGAGGAAGCAGGTGGTTGGGCTTAAAGGAAATTCTAATAGAGAAACCGAAGTTAAATGTCAGCATTCCTCAGCTGGGCTGGCTATGTTTTTATGGATGTCAGCTGCTGTGTGCCTCTCCCACCCCCTGTGAAAGGTGGCCAACTTTTCTCTGTTCACAGAGCCAGCTACATTTTTTCCCCCCCAGGAAAACTCAACATTTAATTAGACTTTCAGGCATTACCAGGGTGTCTGGAGTCTGTATTTTGAGTTGACAGTTGAGATAGTTTTGTCTGATGTGACTGTGCTCTCTGCTTGGAATTTGAGATGTGATACTGACTAAAGGTATCACGATATAAAAAGGGGGCATCTACTCATATCTACCTTAGGAAAAAAATGGTTTAACTGGGCTGGGGCTTCTCTTGAAGCTATATTTTGAACATGAGAGTCTCCTGCATATTTAGAAGGTATCTTGACATTTATTCTCTGTTATCTTCATGATGAGACCTTATGAGGTAGACTAATTTATGTCTTATATTTTGTATATCACAACCTTTCCCCACAGATGTTCCTGTACGTATTTCAGCTAGTCACCTTCGCAAGCTCTTACAGAACAATGCTGATGACGTCACATCCAGGTATCTCAATGTCAGTGACTTCACTGTGAAGGAGGATCTGAAGTCTTGCTACGAACATGTATGGACTCTCTCGTGGTCCACCCAGGTTGGGGATTTGCCCAATTTCATCCGGGTATGTGTGGTATCCCTTTTGGTGGTATGGGGTTTGTGCCTGGAACAATTTTGTAAAGAAAAATATCAGAATGATATAAATGAAAACCGTCATGAATTATTAATTTTATTGGAATATTCAAATAAAGGGGCTCAATTATCTTGCTTTCTGGAAGTTTTCAAGACGTATTTTGTGTCTCATATCTCTGATAAAGCAATTTGAACCAATGTCTCCTTTCCTAACTCAGTGTAGGTAGAGACGTTGTTGGTCAGTGTCCACCTTACACCAATTCTGCATCTGTTATTGGATAATTTAAGCAGATGTGATTGACTTAGATTATGAGGGAGGCAGATGGCACAGCAGAAGGAATTTTAGAAAAGGATTTGCTGTCTTTGGGTAATGACAAAGCCAGATGCTCTTGCATATTTAGGGTTTTAAAAATAATCTAATGATCATCTAGCATTTGGTTATTATAAAATGAAATCCGAGATGGAATTTGATCCCTGTTATATGGTGGTGTGGGTCATCTGGTTTTCAAACAAAATAGTTGGGTGGAGATAGAGGAAGGACAGGAGTCATCTCATAGCACTTGTTTCCTTACATTTTATTGTAATATTTTGTATTGCAAACATACAAAATAGAAAAGCACATAGAAACAAAAATATCACAAGACTTAGAGAAATAATTTTTGTAGAACTCCATTTGCAAATAAATATCCCTCTAATCTACTGGGCCTTTCATTGGTCATTACTTATGTCAGGTTTCTAGTTTTCAATCCCTCGCCATTCCATTTTCACTTCTAGCTATCGGATTATCTTAAATAGAATGTGAAAAAACTTTTTATTATTTGTTTAAATCAAGACTAGACTGCTATTCCATGACAGAATTCACCAGAAATGTGATCGTCTTAGGTCTCTGATGAAAATCTAACCGGAGTGAACCCTGCTGCAACCACTCGTGTGGTATATGATGGTGGAGTTTTTCTTGCACCCATATTTGGAGACATGTTGGTTACTGCCAACCAGCACACTCAGGTGAGAGTAGATGGGCCACCCCAAATGCAAGTACTAGTTTTACGTCTGTCTCAGCCCCTCCCTAGTGTGTAATGTGGACCAATCCCAAGGAGAAGTTTTACAACCCATAACTCAGAGACAGCTATGGCTGTCCTCTCTCTACTTCCACAGGGTATGGAAAGGACTCTGAAAACTTAAGTGCTTTGTAAACACAACATCCTGTTATTATAATTATTGATGCTATTATTATGGTATAAAAAATAGAGAACCTCTGTGAGTACATATGGTTTATACCTCCACACATTGGTATTGAAAAGTAAATGAGCTAAGTCAACTCCTTTTCTCTTTAAAATGTCTTTTCCTCTTTCCCATCTGCCCATAATCCTGTTATAAGTCATCTGCTTTTAATTTGAGAAAAATTTAAAATACCAAACTATAAAGAATAATATAACCAAAACCAGGGTATCTAAACTGAGGATTAATAATCATCAACATGTTGATATATTTAGTGTTTTTTGTCTTTATGGATAAAATAAAACAGATAAAATCAAAGTGTTCTTTATCAGCTATGCCTTTATGCTATCCCAATAGCCTTTTCCTCCATAAGAAAACACTATCATAAAATACAGTGTATGTACTTTTATCCATATTTCCTATGTAGAGAGTCCAGTGAGCGTATCTTTTCTCATCTCCAAGTATTGTGGGAATCTATTAGATCAACATTAGTTCCAGTACAAGGGAAAGACATGTACAGGCTGACTCTTGGACAGTCGGGAGTTAGGGGCACTGACATCCTCATAGTAAAAAGTCTGTATGTAACTTTTGACTGCCCCAAATCTTAACTACTAGTAGCTGATTACATAAACAGTGAATTAACAGCATATTTCATATGTTATATGTATTTCATACTGTATACAATAAAGCAGTTAGAGAAAAGAAAATATTATTAAAATAATAAGAGAAAATACATTTATATTATTTATAAAAAGTATAATACATTTACAGTATTCTTAAGAGAATAATAAGAGAAAATACATTTATAGTATTTATAAATAATACATTTACCCATGTTGTTCAAGGGTCAACTGTGGTCTCTTCTTGGGGCCCTACTATTCTAGGACAAAAAAATACCCCAAACCAAGTGTCCAAATACTCCAATTTTTAGTTATATACCCATGTAGAAATGGTGGAAGGAAGGTGCCTACTTTTTTGGCATTTACCAGCAAAGAAAGGGCTTTTCACAGGAAATATCTACCTAGTTGAAAATAGAAAGTGATAAAAAGTCCTTGTGCAGTTTGAATTTTATTAAATTTAGTTTTATATGACAGAGAGGATATTTATTCAAGATGTAGCACATTTAATTGTAGAAATGTGATGTTTTAGCATGTTTGCCATCAGTTTAAGAGTCTGACATATTTTGAGCCATTCATTACAATTTAGGGTTTATTACTGGGAAATAGAAGAAAGAAAATAAGTGAATCATGAACACATTTTAATTTGGACAAATTTCACAAGTATTTTATGAATACTACTGAGTACATGAAGTGCATACATTTGGGTTTCATTCTTTTGCCTTTTTTCAGGTAGTTGTGCAAGTGAATGACATACTAGCTCATTGCTCAGGTTCCTGTTCTTTCCAGTATCTTGAAGGGTCAACTCCCCGAGTCCACTCTGTGTGGTATGCCCTTGGTAAGATTTGTGACTGGGCATTGAGATGGTCATGAACTTTAGGCTCAGAGTGATTTGTCAGCGGCCATGTACCGGTGATGGGTGGGTAGAGGTGCATCGGTTTATGGAGTGGATGTTTAGTGATGCAACAGAAGTGTATTTTTTGGCCAATGTAACTGGTATTGTTATGATTGAAAATGGAGACAAGTGGATTTTTGATGACTTAAAATGCTTTATTTTCTTTATTTCTTGTTTTGAAATATTCTTCACTTTGATTTCCCCCCATTTTTATTGACTAGTCTTCTCTCATTACTACTTTGAGACCATTTAAGATGGGGGCTGTATGCTTACAATGATAAATGCCAATGTCCAGTATTTGAGTCAGCATGCAACTCCTTGAATCTGAAGATGAGAGGGGAAGATGAAAGAAAAGGATCATTTGATGTTAGAGAGAGTTATCTGAAATGGAATGATATCCCTGAGAGATGATTTTGTTCTTTTAATTTCTTTCCTCCTTTAAGATGGTGACATGGACCTACTGGTTTACATTACTGGAACTAGTTTCTCGGGGGACTCCCAGGCCTTGCAGATTACAGTGAATAAAACAAGTTGCAAAGTTATTTTCTCAAACCAGACAGATGTGGTCTGCCAGACAGACCTGCTACCTGTCGGAGTGTATCAGATCTCAGTGCTGGTGAGACCCTCGGGTCGTGCCATCAATGCCAGTGGAGGAGGCCTCTTCCTGAATGTGGAACCCAGACTGGATGCTGTGGAGCCTCCAAGAGCTGCAGAGATCGGTAATATGGGGAGGACCCCACACTGCATCTGACCCTCTGAAGGTAGCATTCTTGCTGATATGCAGGAACCTACTCCTGCTGTGTAATCAGTTCTGTACCCACTATGATTCACAGCTTTTTGTTTTCTGCCATCAGAATTTCTTCTAATGAGCAACAGATATTTGAGCCCTTAAATGAACTCACTTGCTACATAGTTTGGCTGTGGTACTAGGCACGATTAGGTCAGTCACTGAGTCACCAGGATAATTTGATTTAGTGGAAACAACACCAGATTGGGTGTTAGGACATATGCGCTTGGGTTTCCGTGATGCCAAAATCAGATGTGTGACCTAAGAAATGTCAGTTACTTTTAGGGGACTTAGTTTCCTAATACAGATGATGATAGGCATCCTGTTACTTAAGAAGCATCTCTTCTTAGGTAGTCACATACCCTAAATGCTTACCGCCGCCTGGAAGATGGAGATATTCTCCACATTGTTCAGATGAGATAATGGTGGTTCTGCGAGAACAGTGACTTGCCCCGGGCTTTCCAATAGAAAGAGGTGGATTTAGGATGCAAACTGGGATTGTCAGATGCCAAGACTCCTGCTGCTTTTGCGTGCCATGCTGTCTTAGTTATATAATGAGCCTAATGATGCTTAACTTATAGGCCTCTTAGTTTTGTATGAGATTAAAAGGAGTCAACAGGTGGGAAAGTCCTTTGAAAAGTAAAAGCATTTGCATGTGCGATGCACAGGTCTTGCCCACTAGAAGCCTTGCACACAGTGGGTGCTCACAAATGTTTGTAAACTGATATACACTTGGATACTTGGCTAGCATGCAGAGCCAACTAGCATTCGAAAAGTGGGGTATGCAAAGGGCAGTGGATCTTGTCAGTGTCAGCCCGGTGGATTGGGTCTTAGTGCCATGAAAACCAAGGATCTCTTCTGAGGAACATGACAGTTAAAAACAACCCAGCCAGATTGCAAGAATTCTTAGGAGTACTCATGCCTATATATATGGTAATGTATGATTTCTGGAGCATAAAACTTCTTCTTTTTTAAAAAAATATGTCTTACTGATTTTTTACAGAGAGGAAGGGAGAGGGATAGAGAGTTAGAAACATCGATGAGAGAGAAACATCGATCAGCTGCCTCCTGCACACCCCCTAATGGGGATGTGCCCGCAACCAAGGTACATGCCCTTGACCAGAATTGAACCTGGGACCCTTCAGTCCGCAAGCCAACGCTCTATCCACTGAGCCAAGCCAGTTAGGGCAGCATAAAACTTCTTAATGCCTTGGGTTGTTGTCATTGTTTATTCTGCTCGACAAAGACCTGTGGCTTAGAACATTTTTTGAAGTGGTGTTTCCTGGCCACAAATGCATTGTTCCAAGGAACAGCTTGTTTCTGACTTGACTTTGCCTAGACAAGTGACTAAAATAGGGCAAGCTTTCTCTGATTTCTCAGCGATTTAAGGGAAGAGCCAGAGGATGTGTGGTGCTCACAGTGCAAGATCATATTTGATATTAACCCAATAATGATTAGCTTGAGTTTAGGGCATATAATAGTCTTCCCAGTAGATGTATAATGGACTTTGATCTCAAGTTACCTTTGCAGTTCAGGCCACGCAAACCTTTAGCTCCTGCCACTAGATTGCAGACACCCCAGGGGCAGACAGGTGGCTCAGTTATCTTTGTTTCCTCTAGACCAGTGGTTCTCAACCTTCCTAATTCCGCGACTCTTTAATACAGTTCCTCATGTTGTGGTGACCCCCAATTTCATTGTTACACATTGAACATAATTAAAGCATAGTGATTAATCACAAAAACAATATGTAATTATATATGTGTTTTCCAATGGCCTTAGGCGAGCCCTGTGAAAGGGTCGTTCGACCCCCAAGGGGGTCACAACCCACAGGTTGAGAACCACTGCTCTAGACAGAGTGCCTTGCTCAGGCTAGGCGTCCAACTGTGCTGGTTTTCCTGGGACTGAGGGGTTTTCCAGAATGAAAGATTTTCAGTTTTAACACTGGGTCATGGAACTCTTAATGCTAAAACTCAGAAAGTCCCAGGCACATGAATAGTTGGTCCCTTATCCTATCACCCAATCAAGGCATACTGCACCAGCAATATGTAGTAAAGTGATTTGTCGGGGAGGATTGTACATCATCTCTATATATTTTAGGAAAAGATGGAAAACTCAGAGAAGGAAAAATGTTGGGTGGGTGCAAATTGACTTTCAGTAAAGACTAAGGGAAAAGGGAAAGAGAGAGAGAGAGAAGCTCTAGTTGCTACTATCCTTATTACTGGATTTAAATTTTACCTTCGCTCTGCTACCTACTTAGTATCAACCGGTCTCACTCCTTCACTCACTCAACACTGATGAAGCCACCCTGTGTAAAGCCCTGTGCTAGATGCTGAAGTCCTTGCCACTCACAGTGTGGCTCTGGACTAGTAGTAGCTGTATCAGTTGGAAATCTGTTAGAAATGCAGAGTCTCAGGCCCTATCCCAGACCTCCTAATGAACCTGCATTTTAACAGGATCCTTAGGCCATTTCTATCAACAGTGGAGTTTAAGCAACGTTGCAGTAGAGGATTTAGAGAGAACCAGGCTGAGTCCTACCAGCAAGGAATTTACAGCATAATCCAGTATGAAATGAATATGTATAATATGACAAATAATATTCTAAATTACCACTTACCCTATGCAGAAGCACCCTCCAAAGGATTTTAAAGGAAAATCTTGGCTTTGGAGGACATACATACTTGGCCCATTTCTTACTGAGTTACCGTCTCTTTCGTTACGGGACCTTGTGAGACACCTGAACTTTCAAATAGAAATGGCAGAGTGTTACCACCTCTGCAACTTTTAATTATTAACATCAACAATAATAACAACACTTTATTTAGCTCTTATTATGTGCCAGAGACTATTAATGTGGGGCATATAGTAAATTAAAATAACGTGCCTGCTGCCATGGAGGTGATGGTTAATTGTGTCAGAGGAAAATCAAGCAGGGGAAGAGTGACAGATGGCGTGGTTGTGGTAGGAAGGCCATTGGCACTGGAGGGTTGAGGTGGATGGCATTGGAGAATGGAGACATGGATGAGGTGAAGGAATGAGTCCTGGGGAAATCTTGGAAAGGAGAATTCTAGGCGGAGGGAACATTGAATGATAAAGTCTTAAGTCAGAATAAGCTTGGCTTGTTCCAAGAACACAAGCGAGGCTACAAATATATATATTCTTTAAAGAAATACTTATCCAAATCCTGTGCCCATTTAAAAAATTGAGTTATTTGTCCTTTAATTGTTAATTTGTAAGAGTTCTTTATGTAGTCTGGGCGAGTCTCTTATCAGATATATGATTTGCAAATATTTTCTCCCACCTGTGGCTTGTTTTTTTATTTTCTTGATAGTAGTCTTTGAAGCACAAAAGTTTTAAATTTTGATCAAGTCCAATGTATATTTTATTGTTGTTGTTGCTTGTGCTTTGGTATCATAGCTAAGAAGCAATTGCCTAATCCAATGTCACTAAGATTTGTGCATATGTTTTTTTCTCTAAGAGTTTTGCAGTGTTAGCTCCTGCATTTAGGTATCTGATTCATTTTGAGTTAACTTTTGCATATGGTATGAGGTAGGGATCTGAATTAGTTTTCTAGGGATGCTTATCTAGGTACCACAAACTGGATGGCTCAAACAACAGACATTTATTGTCCTACTGTTCAGGAGGCTGGAAGTTACAGATCCAGGTGTTGGCAGAGTTGATTCCTTCTGAAACAACCTGCTTCATGCCTATCTCCTAGCTTGTGGGGGTTCACTGGCAATCTTTGGCATTCCTTGGCTATAAAAGCATCACCTGATCTCTGCCTTCATCTTCATTTGGTGTTCTTGCTATGTATTTTCTGTGCCCAAATTTCCCCTTATAATAAGATACCAGTCATATTGAATTAGGGGTCCACTCTATTCTACTCCAGTATGACTTCATCTTATATTAGTTAATTACATCTATAATGAACTTATTCCCAAACAAACTCACATTCTGAGGTACTGGCAGGTAAGACTTCAACATATGAATTTTTAGGGGACACAATTCAAAACAGGGTCCATCTTCATTCCTTTGTATGTGGATATGCAGTTGTTCCATTTTGCATATATGTGAAAATATTAGTAATAGAACTTCTTAGAAGTGGAATTCCTAGGTCAAGAGGTGGTATACATTTAATATTTTGAAAATACTAAAGTATTCTCTTTAGAGGTGTATAATTTATTCTCTATGCATATGAATGTCTATTTACCTCCTCTTATTAACACAGTGTTACCAAACTTTTTGTATTTACCAGTCTTATAAGAGAAAAATAATATTTTATTGTACTTTTACTTTGCTTTTATTTCATTGAGAGAAGTTAAATATCTTATCATATGTTTAAGAGACATTGTTTTTTCTTCTCAGTGAATTGTGTATTCATCTCCTTAGCTCACTTATTTTTTCAATTGGGCTATTTTTCTTTGTTATTTATTTAAAGAGCTTTTTATATAGTAAGGATATTAGACCTTTATATGTTTATTTTTTGTCTCTTTGTTTCCTGTTTTTGTAATTCATACATATTTTTTTTATTATTATTATTTTTAATCCTCACCCAAGGATATGTTTTTTTTTAATTGATTTTTAGAGAGGAAGAGAGATTGAACCTGCAACCTAAGTATGTCAATTGAACCCACAACCTTTTGGTATATGGTACAATGCTCCAACTAATTGAGCATGCATGTTTTATTTTTTTTATGCAATAAGTGTATCAACTTTTTATGGCTTTAGGGTTGCAAAATACTTAGAATGGCTTTCCTTCTCTAAAATTACATAAAAATAAAAATTCTACCATGTTTTCTTCTAGTTTTATAACTATTTTTTTATGGTGAAATATTATATCAGCTTGGAATTTCTTTTGGTAAGGATGTGAGAAGAACTCAGATTTAATTTTTTTTAATACTATTCACTTATTTACTAAATAAGAATCTATCTATTTTCACTTATGTAAAATGCCATATTTATCATTTCTGATAGTCCTATACTTCTCTGGGTTTATTTCTGAACTCCCTATTCTGTTACATTGATCTATCTGGCTATTCGTGATTTATTATTGCATGTTAATTATAGCTTTTAGTAAGATATTTTAATGTCTGGCAGAAGACTTCTTTACTCTTATTTTTGAAATTTTGTATTCTAGCTAGTGTTATTTATTTTTTATTGAATTAAAATCAGCTTGTTTAATATAAATATAAAATCTTGCATTGATGCTTTGGTTTAATTTCGGAAGATATGCAACCATTCTGAATTCACTGTTTCTACCCATTTATTTTAGTTTTCTCATTTAAGTTTTAATCTATCTGTTATGTTCCTCTGTAGCATTTCAACATTTTCTTTAGTTTTCTTCATTATCTTGAATTTTTCTTGTCAAGATTGTTTTCATATATTGTTATCTTTTATGTTGCTTCTTTAAATTATTTTTTCTTTAATTTTAGTCTCTAAATTTGAAATCTATTATAGTCTTGTCTTGACTCTTCAGGGCAAGTTGATATATCTAGCTTCAGGGTGTATTTTCTCAGTCATATTTTCTTGACAGGTTTTCTTCAGGCTGTGTTTCTCTTTCTACGCTGACCTTCTCCGCTGGAGAAGATAAGCTTGCTCCTGCACCCACTCTCCACCCTCAAGGGGTGCATGTCTCTACTAGTATCTGGTGGCTTCACTGCCACTCTTGTATCCCTTTCTGGGGGGATGGCAGACCAGCATCATTGCTCTCATCAATAAAGGGGACTTCTTTTTTTTTTAAAATATATTTTATTGATTTTTTACAGATAGGAAGGGAAAGAGATAGAGAGTTAGAAACATCGATGAGAGAGAAACATCGATCAGCTGCCTCCTGCACATCTCCCACTGGGGATGTGCCCACAACCCAGGTACATGCCCCTGACCGGAATCGAACCTGGGACCTTTCAGTCCGCAGGCCGACGCTCTATCCACTGAGCCAAACCGGTTTCGGCAGGGACTTCTGTTTATCAGTGAGATCAAGGGCTGCTTCTCTAAATCGGAAAACTGGCCATGATAGTGGTACGATTGGTGCCAGCCTCTTCTCACCAACATCTGCAGTGAGGGGACACAGGTTTCTGGGGTTGCTCTACAATGATCAGCGGAGAAATCCTGATGGCATTGGGTTGTGATGTCAGTCACTTCTACACCATCATGGAGACCGGAACCTATATGTCTGGTATCAAATCACAAAAGCTGAAAGGGTGTTTGTTTGTTTTTTTAAAAATATATTTTATTGATTTTTTACAGAGAGGAAGGGAGAGGGATAGAGAGTTAGAAACATCGATGAGAGAGAAACATCCATCAGCTGCCTCTAGCACACTCCCTACTGGGGATTTGCCCACAACTAAGGTACATGCCCTTAACCGGAATTGAACCTTGGACCTTTCAGTCCGCAGGCTGACGCTCTATCCACTGAGCCAAACTGGCTAGGGCTGGAAGGGTTGTTTTTTAAAGATGAGGCAAGTGAGAACCAGTGAACGCAGGGGCAATACTCCAAATGATCTGCTTTAAGTGGCAGAGCAATCTGTGGCCCTGACTCTGGGCCCACTGCTCCTTCTGCCATGATGCTCTCTTATACTTGATAATTCCAGAAACAAATATGTTTTATAGGATTGGCAGGGACGATATTTAACAATCTAGGGCAGGAAGGGTTTTTCAGAGACCATCTACTTCCCTTCTCTGATCTGTGGCAGTATTGTAACTCCAGGCTGCATTTCTACCTCTCTTTCCCCTCTAGTCTCCATTGCTACTTCCCTATCCAGTAGTTTATATATTTAATTTCACTTGTTTCTGCAATTTGAGAATGTATTTTGACTAAGGAGCTTCATATTTTAATTTTATTTATCTCTTGCAAATAATTAATTTTGTCTGTCTGTATGGCTGTATATCCCATATGAAAATGCTATATTTGTTACAGGAGGACTCTGGGCCACCGTCCGAGGCTCTGGTTTGGAAGATGTCAACCTCGTTTTATTTGGATCTCAGTCTTGTGCCATCAATGTCACCACAAGCAATTCACGGAGAATTCAATGCCAAGTTCCACCCAGAGTAAGTGGAAATCTTTGGCGTCTCCTCTCTGTGTGGGTGACCTTTTCATCATGAGAGAATGCTTATGTTGTTTATATTGCCTGTTCTGCTATGAAGTGGGAAGCTGACTCCACCAATGGAGTCTTTTTCTTTATTTTTATTTTTTTGAGTCTTTTTCTTTAAAAGAAGACAAAGAAGGAAGTCCCATGCTTAATAAGTATTAGTGCCACAATATAAATAAGTTTATCTAGTGAACATTCTGGGTGTTGTTTTTTAAAACTTATATATCTTGTAGTCTCAATTCTATCTTAAGCAAACAACAAAAAACTTAGTTTGCTCCAGCAATTTTGTTTTCTGGGCTAGATGTGAATGGTAGAATTTAGACACTTCTAGGCTATTTTGTTCCTATAAGACCGTGATGGCGAACCTTTTGAGCTCGGTGTGTCAGCATTTTGAAAAACCCTAACTTAACTCTGGTGCCGTGTCACATATAGAAATTTTTTGATATTTGCAACCATAGTAAATCTTATAATATAAGACATCTTCTTAGTTATTTCCTACTGCTTCCTTTTTTCCTTAAAAACAAGTTCCTTAGCTATCCTCTTTCCCCCCTGCTTCAGTTAGTTCTCTCTCATAACCGTATTAAGAGCTTTGAGTCTAGGTCCTTCCCTGCTGCTTTTAGTGAGCGTCATGCTCACAGCTGAGGCTGAACTTCCTATTCAGAGTTGACTTCAGTGTCATCAACATTCCTAGCACATCCATGACCCCAAAAGATGACTGTGTTCTGAACAAATAAAGACCTCTAAAAGAGAGGGTTCAAAATAATCTTTCATCTCTGGTCCCACATTTTTATCTTATTCAGTTACGCAAATATTATGAAATGTTAGCTTTTATGTCTAAACTGAATGCAGTTCCAATACATGGTTGTATTATAATTTGTTTAACTATTCCTTATTAGTGGACATTAAGCTAATTTCCAAAATTTCCTATTTTAAACAACAGAGCTTTCATCATCCCATTAACTATAGTTTTGGCCATATTTACTTTTCTCAGGATATATAGCACCCAGTTGTCTGAAATTCCTTTTTAATTTATACTCTTACTATCACTGTATAAGTGTTTGATTTCTGGTGTTTGACCAACACTGGATTATCACTTTAATATATATTTACATTTTAATGGCTAAATTTTATACTGTTTGGATTTCTTTCACTAAAGAGAATAAACACTAAAAAAACCCACAACCCTTTTAATTTTGATCAAAGTAACACATGCAAAATTTAAAAAGAAAATAGTAAAACAATTATGCTCTCTTACCATCTCTCAACCTTCTTCAAGTCCCCCCTTTCTGAAACAACCACTTTTAATTATTTTGAATATAGTTATAATACCATTATTTTTAAATCAATAATCCATGCTTACATTATTATAACTATTTAAATGAAGCTGTTAGAATCAGAAAAAAAAATTTTTTTCTTATATAATTTTTTTTCCTTAGAGTTTTTTAGACATCTTCCTTGTAATAAAAATCCTTTATTTTAAGGAAAATATTCCATCATATCAGTTACTTTTTCTTTGAAGCTCTCTGTTTTTCTACTTCAAACAAACTTGATGTTGTTTAGATTTATTCTACAAATATTATCCTAGCACTTTTCTTTCTTTTTTTTAAAAAAACATATCTTTATTGATTTCAGAGAGTAAGGGAGAGGAAG